TTATTGTGATGTTTTTATCAGCTGTTCGGACTTTCATTCTGACGGCACCCATTCACTGCAGAGGATCTATTGGTAAGCAAGTGATGTAATGCTATTTCTCTAAATCTGTTCTAGAAATAAACTCATCTAAATCTTTGATGGCCTCAGGATGAGTATATTTTCAGCAACTTTTCATTTTTGGGTGAACTATTCCTTTAAGTCAGATCCATCTTTATTTTTCATTCATATTACCCACATACAAATGCAATGTGCTTCACTGTTTACACAAAAATAGTGTGACCAGTATTACGTTAAAAAAATTACAACTTAATTTTCATATATATTGAATTGAAAAAAACAAGTCGGAACTACATCTACGTCTAAACAAAGCCTAAATTCCCCCAATGTGTTACTTAATGGACTTAATTAACATATGATATTAGAAATAAGCATAGAGTTAGGGTGGTTGGTTATGTGAGTAAGATAAGCAGCTGCTTTAATTTTAAACTCTACTTGTGGAAGGTGTGTTTTGTGGATGCCTTAACTGTTTGATCACTCTCTTTTATTTTCAGGTGCTGTTGAAGATAATAAATAGGAAATCATACACTGTGACAAAATACTAACATTTTCAATTATTTAATGAATGTAAAGTTCAAAAGAACAGCATTTATTTGAAATAGAAATCTTTTTTAACATTTTAAATGTATTTACTGTTACTTAGATCAATTTCATGCATTCTTGCTTAACAAAATTTATTAAAAAAAAAAATAGAAATCTTAATGACCCCAAACCTTTGAATGCTGGTATAGCTAACACAGTTGTGTATGCTACTACTAAATACATTTTGTTGCTTTATTGTGAACTTAAAATGTGTTACGTACCTTGTAGACTCAGCGATTTTAAAATAAACTCAGATCCATAGAAGACAGTGAAACAGGTTTTGCTGTCCTGTTGAAGCTCTTTTTCAGATTGGCAAAAGATTATTCGAAATCTACTCCCCCTGCTCTCATTAAATTGTTGGAAATCCTTTAATGTTTCCCACTGGCGAACCTCCTTGAACTCAAAAATGTCCACTACGAATACATAAAAACATATATAGTCAAATACAAAACACTACAGTATATGACTAGTATTCCTTTGAATACATTTCCGTGCTTGCATAGGGCCTAAGCAATTCTTCTGAAAATTGTAGAAACCAAAACACTTTCTTAGACATAGCGTAAAATAACAACACTGCTTTTTTTAAAAAGCATTAATTCCTTTGTTTGATTCAAGTGTCTTTTCCAAGGAAGCAACTTACACAATTCTGACTATCCTGTCATCGGAGCGTATATCAAGGCCACCTGCATGCTCTCTGTAATGACCTGGACGGTGAGTCCCTCTGCTGATACACCATCATTTCAGTCCCCGTCTGCAGATGCTCAATAACCCGTCTCCTCTCATCCTCTATCAGCTCACTGCTGCCCACCATCATTGCATCTGACTCACATGGAGTAAAGAAGCAGAGCTTTTTGCATCAGATTGCTTTTCACTATGTTATGTTTATCAAAACAATTACTGTTAAAAGTCAGATCGTTCATGTGACATGTATTCAGACGCACTTACCTTCCAGTTTCGGTGCGCAAAGCAAACTGAGAAATTACATCTAGTGGTTGTTCTCCAAAGCAGTCTTGAAAAAAATCACATCCTCTGGCATAATCAGCTTTCTTATTTCCTATGATGAAAAGCAAGCATTTCCAGACGACAAAAGAGAAAACTAAATCCCCAAACTGTCTACATGAAAGTTACCCGAGAATTGGTTTAAAGTATAGTCAATACCTGTATTTGTAATGCCACAGGCCTCCAAACCAATATTTGGAACACTGTATCTTCCAAATTCTATGTATAAAAATGCTCTCAAGCAGACATTTAAAATGTTGTAAGACAAACAGTGGCGTGGACATTTTGTTTTAAAACAAGGGGGTGGAGAAAAATAGAAAGAATTTGTGAGAAGTAGTGAATTTTACTGGAAAGAGAGATATCGGGTAAGAGATATATCTGATGCGCAATTTCCTGAACTTAACAGTGGTCACAAAATATGCTTTCTAGGATTTTTGGTTTCTAGCTTTTAAAATCTCCACATTTAATGCCCCTTTGTTGTGTGTTTTTCTTTTTTTTTTTAAGTTTAAGTTTTTTTTAAGTATATTTAAAAATATTTCATTGTTAAAATCAACAAGGTCAGACAAGCTTCTTATATCTTTGCGACACTGTGCACTTTTACCGCCTGTTTTATTATATTTTATATATGGAACACCTGGTTCTTGAGATTTTCTACTTCCTATAATGGCATCGTCCATGGGAAAGTTACTCAGTTGTAGTAAGAATGACCTGAGAAGACAGTTTTATTATTATTGTAACAATATATTGCAGTGTTTTTCTTGTTAATAGGCTGAAAATGTACTCTGTACATTGTACATTTTTCTTAGTAAAAGCTTTATAAGATAATATACAAATAAAAGTACAAAAACAATGTGTCCACATATTTATTTATTTGGTGAGTAGTTGTGTAATTATCAGGATAATGTACAAACAAATGGCAATTATACACAAAAAAAAAAACACATTTATTTTGAGATAATGACTGTCAGACTGTGCATTATCGCTTGCATATCCAACCAAACCTGATAAAACTTCCTCAGCATATTAAAAACAAGATAGAAACCAAATAAATAACGTCTTGTTTGCTATTTAAATTTTTAAGACAATAAGGAAAAGTTTAATACAGCTGCAAATGAAATGTTAAAATCAGATGAGTCGGAACTGTCGGAACTACATCTACGTCTAAACAAAGCCTAAATTCCCCCAATGTGTTACTTAATGGACATATGATATATATGATATTAGAAATAAGCATAGAGTTAGGGTGGTTGGTTATGTGAGTAAGATAAGCAGCTGCTTTAATTTTAAACTCTACTTGTGGAAGGTGTGTTTTGTGGATGCCTTAACTGTTTGATCACTCTCTTTTATTTTCAGGTGCTGTTGAAGATAATAAATAGGAAATCATACACTGTGACAAAATACTAACATTTTCAATTATTTAATGAATGTAAAGTTCAAAAGAACAGCATTTATTTGAAATAGAAATCTTTTTTAACATTTTAAATGTATTTACTGTTACTTAGATCAATTTCATGCATTCTTGCTTAACAAAATTTATTTAAAAAAAAATTTGAAATCTTAATGACCCCAAACCTTTGAATGCTGGTATAGCTAACACAGTTGTGTATGCTACTACTAAATACATTTTGTTGCTTTATTGTGAACTTAAAATGTGTTACGTACCTTGTAGACTCAGCGATTTTAAAATAAACTCAGATCCATAGAAGACAGTGAAACAGGTTTTGCTGTCCTGTTGAAGCTCTTTTTCAGATTGGCAAAAGATTATTCAAAATCTACTCCCCCTGCTCTCATTAAATTGTTGGAAATCCTGTAATGTTTCCCACTGGCGAACCTCCTTGAACTCAAAAATGTCCACTACGAATACATAAAAACATATATAGTCAAATACAAAACACTACAGTATATGACTAGTATTCCTTTGAATACATTTCCGTGCTTGCATAGGGCCTAAGCAATTCTTCTGAAAATTGTAGAAACCAAAACACTTTCTTAGACATAGCGTAAAATAACAACACTGCTTTTTTTAAAAAGCATTAATTCCTTTGTTTGATTCAAGTGTCTTTTCCAAGGAAGCAACTTACACAATTCTGACTATCCTGTCATCGGAGCGTATATCAAGGCCACCTGCATGCTCTCTGTAATGACCTGGACGGTGAGTCCCTCTGCTGATACACCATCATTTCAGTCCCCGTCTGCAGATGCTCAATAACCCGTCTCCTCTCATCCTCTATCAGCTCACTGCTGCCCACCATCATTGCATCTGACTCACATGGAGTAAAGAAGCAGAGCTTTTTGCATCAGATTGCTTTTCACTATGTTATGTTTATCAAAACAATTACTGTTAAAAGTCAGATCGTTCATGTGACATGTATTCAGACGCACTTACCTTCCAGTTTCGGTGCGCAAAGCAAACTGAGAAATTACATCTAGTGGTTGTTCTCCAAAGCAGTCTTGAAAAAAATCACATCCTCTGGCATAATCAGCTTTCTTATTTCCTATGATGAAAAGCAAGCATTTCCAGACGACAAAAGAGAAAACTAAATCCCCAAACTGTCTACATGAAAGTTACCCGAGAATTGGTTTAAAGTATAGTCAATACCTGTATTTGTAATGCCACAGGCCTCCAAACCAATATTTGGAACACTGTATCTTCCAAATTCTATGTATAAAAATGCTCTCAAGCAGACATTTAAAATGTTGTAAGACAAACAGTGGCGTGGACATTTTGTTTTAAAACAAGGGGGTGGAGAAAAATAGAAAGAATTTGTGAGAAGTAGTGAATTTTACTGGAAAGAGAGATATCGGGTAAGAGATATATCTGATGCGCAATTTCCTGAACTTAACAGTGGTCACAAAATATGCTTTCTAGGATTTTTGGTTTCTAGCTTTTAAAATCTCCACATTTAATGCCCCTTTGTTGTGTGTTTTTCTTTTTTTTTTTAAGTTTAAGTTTTTTTTAAGTATATTTAAAAATATTTCATTGTTAAAATCAACAAGGTCAGACAAGCTTCTTATATCTTTGCGACACTGTGCACTTTTACCGCCTGTTTTATTATATTTTATATATGGAACACCTGGTTCTTGAGATTTTCTACTTCCTATAATGGCATCGTCCATGGGAAAGTTACTCAGTTGTAGTAAGAATGACCTGAGAAGACAGTTTTATTATTATTGTAACAATATATTGCAGTGTTTTTCTTGTTAATAGGCTGAAAATGTACTCTGTACATTGTACATTTTTCTTAGTAAAAGCTTTATAAGATAATATACAAATAAAAGTACAAAAACAATGTGTCCACATATTTATTTATTTGGTGAGTAGTTGTGTAATTATCAGGATAATGTACAAACAAATGGCAATTATACACAAAAAAAAAAACACATTTATTTTGAGATAATGACTGTCAGACTGTGCATTATCGCTTGCATATCCAACCAAACCTGATAAAACTTCCTCAGCATATTAAAAACAAGATAGAAACCAAATAAATAACGTCTTGTTTGCTATTTAAATTTTTAAGACAATAAGGAAAAGTTTAATACAGCTGCAAATGAAATGTTAAAATCAGATGAAGACGATAGATGAACAGTTTCACAGTTACAAAAAAAAAAAAATCCTTCATGCGGTTTTCATGCCCTCAATTTAAAGAGTTTTACAACTTCTGGGTTGTAGCTACACTTTCCACAGAGTATTCACCTATGAATATTGCTCAGATTCTCTTTGCAATGAATTCCTGTGTGAGCACAAGAGTGAGATGGCTGCAACTTCCTGTTGGGGCCTGTTAGGGAACCAGTAGTAATAGAGCAGCGGAACCGAGAGGAAGAGACCCTTAAGAACATTAGAACCAGACCGGAAGGGAACTAGACTTTCCTCATGAGTAGAACTTGCTGTTGTTGATTTTTTGCTGTTTATTCATCTTTTTTTCTGAGTACATGAACTGGTTGGAGTGAGTGTCGTAGAGGCAGAACTCGTTGCTTAACTCCGCCTGTTTCTTTTGCAACTGTTTCGAGGAGGAGTAAAGTTCCTCCTGCGCTTTCTGAAGAAACAAGTGAGATATGATAGGGGATTTCCATTAAACTAACACAGTATTCTCAATCAAATAAAATTTTTTCTTAAAATAAATAATTACATCAACAAATTGCCGGTTTCTAAATATGCTTCTTACCTCCACCTGCTGTATATCAACATACACCAGTAGAGATGCCAGCTCTAGGTTTTCACTAAAGCCGTTCTTTAAAGGGACGGATCTGTACCCTATGAAAGCAGCAACTCAGTATTTGTACTTAAATCTGCACAATGTTTCACAAAAATAACTGGCAATGAAGTTGATAGACTTACCTGAGCGAACACCTTTCACAGGGAACGTAGCCTGGGCCAGGAAATTAGGGTCAGAGAACATGTCCTCCTCAAAGACCACAAAGCGCAGAAAGGTGAGGTCTGGTTCATACACGCTGAAAGTAAATGTCTCCGAAGGCTGACAGTTTGGCCCGAGCCATATAGGGTTCAGTCCGTTATCATCTGTGGACACATTTAGTTATTTATTTTTTAAATGAAAAAAAAAAAGAGAAAATGAATACTGGTGCCTCTCAAAAAAATTGGAATTATATATATATATATATATACAGTGTTGGGGAAAGTTACTTTTAAAAGTAATGCATTACAATATTGCGTTACTCCATAAAAAAGTAACTAATTGCGTTACTTAGTTACTTTTTATGGAAACTTTTTATGGGCTTGCTTGTTTGTTTTTAAAATAAAAAAAGTTCTATTTTTGGCATGTTTTTGAATCATCGCTCCGGCCTGACAGGGCATCACAGTATGGTAGGGGCGTAACATTTCCGTCTCACGCTTGAGGTATTCGGCCAATCACAACGCACTGGATATCTGGCCAATCAGAGCACACCTCGCTTTTCAGACTGATGAGCTTTGTAAAAATCGACGCGTTTCAAAAAGGCGGGGCATAGAGGAGAAACAATAATGTACAGTATGTGGAAAATAATGTGTTTTTTTTACTTTAAACCGCATAAACACATTTCATTACACCAAATACACAAAATAATGTTCTTTTTAGCAACGTCATATGACCCCTTTAAGATTATAACATCTGAAAATGAATATAGCCCAGATGTCTTTTTTCTCTTTACTTTTCCCACTTCTTAACAGGGTGTTTTTTTTAAACATTACTTGAGATACAGTAAATGTAAACTGAAATAAAATATAACAAAACATACTTTATTTCAGCTACTTAATTTTTTAGCATTTCTTATTTTCAGTGTGTTTAACCTAATAAAATAACTAAAACTAAACAAAAAATTCATACAAACTACATAGACATATTTAAAACAAAAACTGATATAAATGATAAAAACTTAAAAAATGTTAACTAAAATTAAAATGAAAACGTAATAGTATCTCAGTTATGCTAAAAAAAAATACTGCGTCTTACGGCAAACGATAGTCTTGAATTTGTTGTCCTCTGTTTGGCCACACAGTTCGATCTCCACAAAGGGACTGGCAATGCTTCGTCCTGGTTTGGGAAGATGTCTCGCTCCTATCACCTGAGTATCAGAAAAACCATCAACAATCTTTTCAATTAATTTAATTTAATTTAAAAAAAAACAGTTCTTGTTCAGCTCTCAAACTCAACCTAAATAAATGTTCTGTTTGAATAAAGCTCATGTTTTACCCTAATGGTGATAGTAAATCTGATATTCTTCTTCTCCTGATGAGGGTCATACGAATCGCTGCGCATCGGCTCAGGCTGCAGTACATATCCTGTGCCTCCATTCAGACTGAAGAGGGCGCTGTTCAGCTGCATGTACTTATCTGAGGAGAAACGCAAACACAAAACGATTAATCGCATCCAAAATAAAAGTTTTTGTTTATGTAATATATGTGTGTGTACTGTGTATATTTATCATGTATATATAAATACACACACATGCACATATATATTTAAGAGAAATGTGTTGTTTATATACTAAATATATTTATATATAATATAAATTATATTAATATAAATATATACATGTAAATACAGGTAAATATTTTCAAAATATATACTGTATATGTGTGTATTTACATATACATAATAAATATACACAGTACACACATACATATTATGTAAACAAAAACTTTTATTTTGGATGTGATTAATCGCGATGAATCGTTTGACAGCACTAGTTATTAGACATATGGAATAAATGCTATGCTATTTATTTATTGAACATTTTTCTCTGTAATGTTTTCTTTTCCTTACACTCACAGTTTAAACCCATGTTATTTCCTTTATTACATATTTGTCTTTAAATACTGTCTTATTTTCTTTTTACATTAACATGACATTTTTTATGTTTCTTGCCTCCTTCTAATACTCTACCCCTTTATACAAACTTGTATAAATGTATAATAATTGCATATATGCATTGTGTATTTCTATAAAACATTAACTTTGATTGAGTACATCTCCTCACTTCCTTGTTTACTATTTTGGGTCAAAGGTTGGCAATTTTCCCCTGCTGGTAGATGGTATAATCACACCATTATGTTGCCAAAAAGCATTGAAAGAAATTCATAAGTAGCTGTTTATTTTGACTAAATGAATTTAATGTTAAGTTTATTATGGCCTGTTACATGTCATATACTTCCAGTGCAGTCATAAGTTAGCTAAACAAGCACCACTGAGATAAGTGGGAATGTTAATGGATAGCTTTGTCCATGAGATGTTTAACTTCATACTCACCAGCGGTTTGGAAGTTGAGTGCCACCATGTGGCAGCCGCACATCCACAGAGGATACGGATCATAGTTGGAGGAATCCACCCGCTGGCCCTTTGGGTAGACGCGGCTGAGCGCCTTGCGGTTATACAACATAAACTGAGTCGACTTGTTTCTGGAGGGAATCTTATTTTCTACGAAGGAGCGAACCTCTTTGTAGGTATAATTATCTGATAGGGAAAGACAATCACATTGTTCATTTACAGTTTACTTCATATATGTCATTGTATATATATTTTTCTGTTTTTGACAGAAGTCTCTTATGCTCACCAAGCAAATATTTGACCAAAAATAGGGAAAAACTGTAATATTGTAAAATATGATTAAAATTTAAATTAAAATTGTTTTTAATGTTTTTTTAAATATATATTTTATTTTTGATACATTTTAAATATAATTTAATAATATTTTAATATATTTTAAAATGTAATTTATTCCTATGATAGCAAAGCTGAATTTTTCAGTATCATTAATCCAGTCTTCAGTGTGAGCGATCATTCAGAAATCATTAATGATGTGCTGATTTGGTCAAGAAACTTATTTCTTATTATTGCTGTTCAACAATGTTGAAAACAGTTGTGCTGCTTAATATTTTTGTGCAAGCTGTGTTTTTCCAGGAATCGTTGATGAAAAGAAAGTTCAAAAGAACAGTATTTATTTGAAAAACAAAATTTTTTATGTTTTTACAGTCACTTTTGATCAGTTTAATGCATCCTTGGTGAATAAAAGTATTCATTTCTTTTTTGAATGGTAGTGTATATGTAAATATGTATACATTCATATTTAATGAGCCATACCAAAGCGGTCCTTGTCTTTGCTGCGAGGCTGGCAGTAAACGACCTGTTCAGACATCTCGCTGGCCACCTCGTCCCTGCTCTCAACCTCCCTTTGCTTTTGTTTCTGCAATAGAAATTTATTGTAAACATTTATAAACACCAGCCCAAAATTATACTTGAAATACTTGACTGTATACTTAAAATGGCAATGGTTAAACGTGCTTCTAGGGCTATGCCTAGCATTTAAAGGGGTCATATGATGCGATTTCAAGTTTTCCTTTCTCTTTGGAGTGTTACAAGCTGATTGTGCATAGATAAGATCCCTGAAGTTGCAAAGACTAAAGTCTCAAAACCAAAGAGATATTCTTTATCAAAGTTAAGACTCTGCCACGCCCCCCTAAAACGGCTCATTCTAACACGCCCCCACATATCTACCACACTATATGGAAATATTTGCATAATGCCGCCCAAATGAGCACGCAAAGAAAGAAGGCGTGGTTTCAGTAACCGCAGTTACTGTTGAAGCAGCCATGTCAAGGAGACGCTGTGTGTTTCTAGGCGAAAGCAAAAGCACTTTATTTGGCCTTCCGAAAGTAGATGCATTTAGGAATCTTTAAGATTACTTACAACAGAACAGCAATGCATTTTATGGACGACCGTTTCGTGAACCTAGGAGAGGAGGTAATTCTGACTTTGCTATGACAATCTGGCACTTCTGAATCAGCTACTGTAAGTATGTTTTGCTATTAGTTTAAGTATTTGCTATTGACCGTTCAAATGCAGAGTTTTGCGCATCATGTGTGTGTGCGTGCACGCGCATGTGTGTGTGTGTGAGAGAGAGAGAGAGAGACAGCGTCACATCAAAGTGGAGTCAGCTGTCTTAACCGCGGCTTGTGTACTGCATCATCACTGTGTCTGTCACGCGACTCTGTTCCCCTTTCAGGCTTGAACTGATGGTAAAACTAATGACATTATTTACTGTCTTTACATTTATTTTGAAAGATGAAGCTCGCGATTATGGTAAGGGGCGTTACATTTCCGACGAGTGCTTGCGATGTTCGGCCAATCACAATGCACTGGGTCAGCTGGCCAATCAGAGCAGACTGCGCTTGTCGGAAGGAGGGGCTTTGTAGAAAACGAAGCGTTTGAGAGAGGCGGGGCATAGAGGACCTACAATAATGTACAGTATTTGAAAAATAATGTGTTTTTTGAACAATAAAGCATGTCAACATATTCTGTTACACCAAATACACAAAATAATGATCTTTTAAAAAGCATCATATGACCCCTTTAAACACCCCCTCAATCTGTCTGGCTTCAACTAAACAACTTCAACTATATTTACATGACGAGTGACTCAAAACCTTGTGAGAACTTCCCTGTGTGACAACTAGCCCCAGTTTGCCCTATTCAGGACCAGTAAACAGAGCGTGTGAGTCTAAGCGTGTGAGACAGACCTCAAACTCTCGGTTTTCTTCTCTCTGTGTGATGTCCCAAGCCACCTGATACCACTCGTACAGCTCCTCGGTGGTCTCAGTGGCCAAATCAAACGGCATGTCTTTATTCTCCTTATCCTGCAGCGTCACCACCACAGGCCTGCTGTGTTTGGCTGAACGAACTGGAAATGACGAAAAGAGTGCAAAATACCATTACAAAAACATGTAATGTACAGGTGCCCAGGTGACTCAGAAGATAAATAATCTTACCGACAGTACACTTCGAGATGTCCACTATTCCTTTACATAAGTCACCCAATGGATTTTCCTCATCGCCCTGAAAGAGAACATCTAATCTTAAAGACATTCTATGTTTTGAATATAGATATTCTCTATGTATTTACGCAAATAGAAATGCAAAATAATGTACTTACTAGCACTAAATTACTTATCTGTGATGTCAAATATGCAAATTTGTAATATTCTTTACCTGGCAACCTGCCTCAGATGCATTGGCAACTTCTTCTACATAATTTGAAGGGAAATAGTGCTGCAGTTTTCCACCATAGTCTCCTTTCCACCTGTTGGGATTGGGAATATTAAATGTTGGTTAACATCAAATTTAAGCAATTAAAATCACCCTGTGTTTTTTTAAATACCTGATAGTGTCATAAGAGAGTGAAATGACATGAATAAGACAATCTTTCCTGATAAACATATGTTAATACAGCTATATTCCACAAAGCTACATTAACAGAAAAGTCAACATGGACAACCTACCATGATAATACCATGATTACAGCTATGTTTTATGGACATGAGCCATGGTAAAATTATAGTATTCTTTGACATACACTTCCATTCAGAAATCTAGGGTCAGTGATATTTTTTTGTTACTACTTTTATTCAGCAACAACACATTAAACTGATCAAAAGTGACAGTAAATACATTTTTAAAGTATATTTCAAATAATGTTCTTTTTAACTTTATATTCACCAAAGAAACTTGAAAAATTTATTAAGCAGCACAACTGTTCTCAACATTGATAATAATAAATGTTTCTTGAGCAGCAAATCGTCATATTAGAATGATTTCTGGGGGATCATGTGACACTGAAGATTGGAGTAATGGCTGCTGAAAATTCAGCTTTGCATCACAGGAATAAATTACATTTGAAAATATATTCAAATGGCAAATAGTTATTTCAAATTGTAATAATATCTCACAATATTCCTGTTTTTACTGTATTTTTCTAATCAAACAAATGAACAAAATACTCAAAAAAAAAAAAAAAAACTTACTGACCCCCACCTCCTGAACAGTAGTGTACCTTGGAGTGCTACTGTATGTAAATACTGAGGTAAATTTATATGGTAATCTTCCAGTACCATGGTATTTACCAAATTAGCATAGTATAATCATCTGATACTCTCACTGTACCATGGCACTGCCACAGCTTTTTTTACAAGGCTTATTATCTACAAAATTTGCAAATAATCTCACCATCCGTTTGCCTCCTTGGTCACATTATGGATCAAAGCGCCCTTGTAAAAGGTGAGTTCATCCGGCCGCATGGCCCTGTAGTCATAGAGGGCCATCACTGTGCTATGGGGCTGCAACACAGCAAAATGAATTTAATCTTGCTACAAATCTGCAACAGTATTGAGGCAACCCTCACAAGCCTTCAGCAGTTCACGAAAATAAATTTTCCTTAAAGGGAATTTGTGAATTACGTTCGAGCTAGAAACATGAAGCACATATGGCATACAAACTAAAACCTGACATTGCTCTTTTAGCCAGGCTGCATTTCCTCTTTCGAGTCGATCAGTTTCCTATGTGAGAGAAAGAGATAGCCAGCGCCACCACTTCCTTCCCAGCCCACAGGAGATGACCTCTTGCGCATGCTAACTCGCAAGAGCTGTGTTTGCACTTCAAAGTGCTTACCAGAGACGGCTCTATCTCATTGGCCTCCACGTACTGTTTAGAATCATAAAGTGAAGCAGATATGGTTATCTGAAAAGACATAAAACATTTCTTAGACTTTTCTCCCCTGCACATTAGACTTAAAACAAGCAAAATCTATACATTTAGATTTAGAAAACAGCTATTGTGTTTTTGATCAAATGCAGTCGTGGTTCTCATAAGATGCTTCTTTTAAAATTAGTGGTGTAAAATCAAAATGAAATAAAAAAAATTTAAAATACATTAATCAGACATCATGTTCGAACAATTAAGCAGTTAAGGTCCTTATTTAGGTTAGTCGCTCTTTCAGGCTGTGACACTAGGAAAAATGTACTTTGTGGTGGAAGGATGCATAAACGTGTAATACTAGCCACAGGAAGAGGGCAAAAATACATTAGCATAGCCTCAGGAAGTGAAAGAAATTCTAAATAAAAAGAAAAATAATTATGTTTTAGTATTATATGTCTTACTAAACATTTATATCATACAATGGCACTTTAGTGCATATTATACTTCTGTTAAATCAGAGCCTTTGGCCTGAACTTTGATTGGAAAAAGCAGAAGAGACCAACAGAGCTACTAGAGATGAAAGCATGCAAGTGTAACATGCAAACTGTGACCTTAGCAAAGGAAGAGGTGCACATGCCCTTGTTCACTTTGAAGAGTGTGTACAGATGCTGCACACAAAAGTAATGGCTGCTGAAAATTCAGCTTTGCATCACAGGAATAAATTACATTTGAAAATATATTCAAATGGCAAATAGTTATTTCAAATTGTAATAATATCTCACAATATTCCTGTTTTTACTGTATTTTTCTAATCAAACAAATGAACAAAATACTCAAAAAAAAAAAAAAAAACTTACTGACCCCCACCTCCTGAACAGTAGTGTACCTTGGAGTGCTACTGTATGTAAATACTGAGGTAAATTTATATGGTAATCTTCCAGTACCATGGTATTTACCAAATTAGCATAGTATAATCATCTGATACTCTCACTGTACCATGGCACTGCCACAGCTTTTTTTACAAGGCTTATTATCTACAAAATTTGCAAATAATCTCACCATCCGTTTGCCTCCTTGGTCACATTATGGATCAAAGCGCCCTTGTAAAAGGTGAGTTCATCCGGCCGCATGGCCCTGTAGTCATAGAGGGCCATCACTGTGCTATGGGGCTGCAACACAGCAAAATGAATTTAATCTTGCTACAAATCTGCAACAGTATTGAGGCAACCCTCACAAGCCTTCAGCAGTTCACGAAAATAAATTTTCCTTAAAGGGAATTTGTGAATTACGTTCGAGCTAGAAACATGAAGCACATATGGCATACAAACTAAAACCTGACATTGCTCTTTTAGCCAGGCTGCATTTCCTCTTTCGAGTCGATCAGTTTCCTATGTGAGAGAAAGAGATAGCCAGCGCCACCACTTCCTTCCCAGCCCACAGGAGATGACCTCTTGCGCATGCTAACTCGCAAGAGCTGTGTTTGCACTTCAAAGTGCTTACCAGAGACGGCTCTATCTCATTGGCCTCCACGTACTGTTTAGAATCATAAAGTGAAGCAGATATGGTTATCTGAAAAGAAAGACATAAAACATTTTTTAGACTTTTCTCCCTGCACATTAAACAGTAACCAAGCAAAATCTATACATTTTAAATAATTTGTCTGCTCGGTGAACATTAAGTATTCTATATCAGTGGTTAAGTGGTGACAGTAAAGACATTTATAATGTTACAAAAACCACAGAAATATTAAGGAGCACAACTGTTTTCAACATTCATATGATAAAAGATGCTTCTTGAGCACCAAATCAGAATATCAAAATTTCTGAATTTCTGATTCAAGATTTCTGAAGGATCATGTGACACTGAAGACTGGAGTAATGGCTGCCAAGATTTCAGCTTTTCCATCACAAAAATAAGTAATGTTAAATATATATATATATTAAAATAGAAAACAGTTACTTTAAAATGTATAAATATTTCACAATATGACTGTTTTATAGTTTTTTTTTTAATCAAATACGTTGTCTTTGTGCACATAAGTCACTTTTCAAAATTAGGGGAGTAAAGTGAATTTAGGTTAGTCGCTCTTTCAGGCTGTGACAGCAGGAAAAATGTGCTTTGTGGTGGGAGGATGCATAAACATGTAATACTAGCCACAGGAAGAGGGCAAAAAACATTAGCATAGCCTTGGGAAGTGAAAAAAATTCTAAGTAAAAAGACATTTTTTTTAATATTATATGTCTTACTAAACATTTATACCATACAATGACACTTAAGTGCATATTATACTTCCGCTAAATCAGAACTTTTGGCCTGAACTTTGATTGGAAAAAGGAGAAGAGACCAACAGAGCTACTAGAGATGAAAGCATGCAGTGTAACATGCAAACTGTGGCCTTAGCAAAGGAAGAGGTGTACTTGCCCTTGTTCACTTTGAAGAGTGTATACACATGCTGCACGCAAAGACAAACTGTTGTACAATCATTGCACAGTGTTCAGTACAGCACACAACTGACAACGTTTTAAGTGAACTCTAGAAAACTATCATCTTGCCTGCTCTGCACCAAAATAGATTTATTATGTTGCTTTATTACTTACTGAACTGAAGCGTTCCACCAGATCTGGTGTGACCGGGTAGCGCAGTTTGATCTTCCGATACAGTGGTTTATTTCGGAAATAGTCCACCAATTCCAGCAGGCTCTCAAATTCGCTGGAGGTGCCGAGCACGTACATAGATCCATCTTTGTTTATCCGGCAGTGCTTCACCATCCCTTCACCTCTGTTTCAGCAAAAATAAAAAATAAATCCATGAATTGCAATAATTATTACATTAAATAACAAAAACTGTAAAACACCAACAACAACAACAAAAAATTCTAGAAAATACATAACATATGTATGTATATATGTATATATATAT